TATATATATATATATATATATATGTGTGTGTGTGTGTGTGTGTGTGTGTGTGTGTGTGTGTATATATATATTCAATATATGTTGTATATGTTACCGGTAGTCCTTGCTGTATATACATTTTTTTATCGATCATTTTTTATTGTGACCAGTTTTGTGTATATAATAAGGATATGACATGTACATAATCTGGGGGCAAAAATTTTCATGTCAATTTTTTTGGGATTAAGTATTTATTTTTGTGTTGGCAGTGCGGTGTATGTGTTGTGTATATGTTATTGTTATATTTCCAATAATTTTGTGCAATCATGATTTTGTGAACTCATACGCTATATACATGCACTATATGTTGTATATGTCCTTGGTAGCCCTTTCTATATATAACTATATATATACATTATTTATCGACCATTTTTTTGGAATGTACTATATGTGTATATAATAAGGATATGACATGTACATAATTCGGGCGTAAAAATTTACATGTCCTTTTTTTTCGGACAGGACTGGGAATTGCTCATACCAAATCCGAGGAAATTACATGTGAAGATTCAGACCAGTAACGATAACAGCCAGCCTGGGTCGACCATAAATGAAATAAAGAGGATGCTTACCCCCGGGCAGATGGAGAATTTAAGGGGTTCGGCATTTGGAAAGTTTTTGGACCTTCCACATTCAAAAATCCAGATCCAATTGCTTAATCACATTCTCTTACGAGAGGTCTATCAACCCAGGACAGACAGGATGTGGTTTGATTTTGGAGGAAAATTGTTCTGGTTTGGGATTGAAGAGTTTGCCCTTATCACCAGTCTTAAATGCACTGGTACTTGCAAGAAGCTGAACATCGCACAAGTATCTGAAGGCCTATATGACAATTACTTCTCCGGTCTGATACTTAACCGTAGTTGCATAGAAGTGCAGGTTTTGAGGAAATCACGGAAATCCGATGCAGACGCTGTTAAGTTTGCCAAGTTACATCTACTTGCGAACTTCCTCATGGGTTCGCAGGACGCGCACCGGTTTGACAGATGCTATCTCGCCATTATCGATAGCTCTATTTTTGACGAGTATCCTTGGGGGACTGATGTCTTTGAATTTACGTTCCATTACCTTAATAAATCAATGATAAACCGAGAGCACACGCACAAAGAAGGGAAGAGAGGTGGTTACAATTACAGATGTTATGGGTTTATCTTAGCTCTGCAAATATGGTTTATGAAATCTGCAACAAAGCCGAAGGCGTGGTATGCACATTGATTGGAAATAACGAAATCCCTAGAATGCTTAAGTGGGAAGTCCATGGCACCTACAACCATCTTTATGTACAGAGGGCTTTTTCGAATTTGGACTCCAGCAAGGTATTTTTATCCCCAGACTTGATGTCAAGGGCTGCAAATAGATTCATTAATTATACATAAGACTTTTGATTCATTTTGTCTTACTTTCGTTCATTTATTCATTACAGTTTAAGAACGTGGCACCTACATTGGAAGAGAAGCAATCGGTGCTGTTGGTCACCTTTTTCCAGAAGAAGAATGAATTCAATCGGGACGAGACACACACGACATCTACGCCGCAGCCCACCAGTAACTCGGAAATCATCGATCGTCTGAATTCAATTTCATCTGACGTTGAGAACTTGAAACAGTTGTGCTATGACTTTTCAAAGCGGGTTATGGCTGATCTAGAGCTATTCAAGAATACATTCATTGTAAGTATAATAAATTTTTAAATTATTTAGACGATTAATTAGTAATATATTTTTATATATATTATCTGTCAACCTCTTCTTTCTATGAATGTGCCTGCGTCTGTTTATGTCCTTTTGGATAAAAATGTAGCTTCGTATATATGTACAGAATATAAACACAAACATATACACCGGATCATATGGTCTATTAGATATATATACACATCATATATCCCAGACATATACGGTCTGCTATTTTAAGTTCACCTCAATTTGATAAATATACTATATATACACAGTATATATACATGTAATATACTGTCCATATGCATGAGTAATCAACAAGAAGATATATGCTTGAAGTTGCTTTTTTCACATGTAGATTTCTACAAGAAATGATGGAAAAAACACTGAAGACACCACTGATGCATTTGGATTGGAAACGGATATTATCAAGGGGAACGTGCATTAATCGCTTATAAACGATAAGGTAACTTATTAAAATTTTTCTTAAACACCTTGTTATTTAATCACACATAAAAAAATATATATATATATATATTTACAATTCTTTAATACCCCTGCAGACATCCCTCTTGTTTTTATTTTATTTATTTTTATTCTTTTTGTAGTCTGGACACGAGAATGTTGTTACCGCATTTAGAACGAAATCAGAAGCTCTCCAGAAACGTGCAGAAGATAAAGTATCTTAAATATATATTTGTCATCCATGCATTCAATATCCTGTACATTGTTTGGATATATATATATATATATGTATATATATTTGACCTGACAGGTATATCTCTTGTTTTTTTATGTTTATTTTTATTTTTAATTTTTGTAGTCTGGGCACGAGAATGTCGTCACCGCATTTAGAACGAAATCAGAAGCTCTGCAGAAACGTGCAGAAGATAAAGTATCTTAATTATATAAGTTTTATCCTTTTTTTTTCTGTTTTGGTTTACTTTTATCTTTATGATTATGATGACGACAAGTTTGTCTATCTTTTTTTTTTTTCTGTTTTAAAATGGTCCACTTTTATCTTTTATAACAAGTTTTAAAGTCCGGGCAGGAGACTGTTGTTACCGCTATTAGCACGAAATCAAAAGCTCTCCAAACACGTGCAGAAGATAAAGTATCTTACTTATATACAACAAATAAGATATTCATTGTACCATAAATCGTAAATTTTCTTAAATTATATAACAAATTGCTATGTGTTTTCTTTAATTAGGCTATTGGATAAAGCCGGCATCACGCTATTATCAATCCCGGCGGAAGATGATGACCCTTTTTCACCAATCAACACTCAATTTCTAGTTGAGGTTGATACTGCAGAAAAAATAAACTTTGCCTTAAGAGAAAAGAATCAGGTACCGCAAAGTTATTTTAGTATATTTCATGTATATATTATGTATATTATACACTTTATAGCAATGAATATGAATATGTCAGCTTTTAATGTTACAGGCACGTGCATCAACTTCGAGAGGCCCAAAAGAGAACCACATCCAATTTTTGGTTTTTCACTCAATGGATCTCAACCGTCGTTCAGTGCGATCACACACGACCTACCACCTACACCACCAAACTATGTCGCCCCTCCCGCACCGCACGAATCTGTAATCCACTTTATCAGAAATTTAAATATTAGTATTTCAAGTCTATGTGTGCACAGTTAAATAATGCAATACATTTTTTTATTGTTCTTTTTCCATACATGTTGTATCAGTCTGAAGTAGGTGCGGATTAAAGAAATGTAGAGGGTGGAAAGAGTAGTGAAAATGTTGAACCAGTTAGCACCGCAATTGTTGTCTTCCGAGATACCGGGAGCCAATCTCCCTGTGATATTAATTTGAAAAAAAAAAAAAAAAGACTCGAGGAATCTTCTCCAAAAGTCCTGCCCTTTTGATTGTGATTTCTAGGACCTTTCCACTATGGATCATACCATAATGGGTTATACTAATTGGATTGGCGAGGGATTTCTACAGCGATGCCGAAAAGAGGGTGATGGGTAAGTGGATAACAATAGCTATTCATATTAACCATATCTTTTTTCAGAGTTTATATATATTATTAACATCTACAGATGTCACACTTTTTTTTTGCTAACATGTCAGATTTTTATTTTTTCATCATACTCGAAAAAAACTTAATATGTATCATCAACTTGTGCAGTTTCAATTACTACAAAGTGAGGTACAAGAAGTTGAATCCTCCGTTTTATTTCAATGTTCATTCCGTGACGGATAAGAACTGGTTTTACACAATCCATGAGACGGGCCTTTTCCTTGATAGTAGTGTGAGTGGTTCAGTGTGCCCCAATATCTTTATTTCTTATATGAATTACAATCATTTTTTTTCCTGTAATATGATTACGTATTAAGTTTTGTTCCATAATATTTTTTTT